GGGCAGCTCTTCATTCTCCCAGTCCCCGCCTTTGCCTTCTGCAGCTTGGGCGGTGAGGCTCAAGCACTTGCCAGTGAAGACCGAGGCAAAAAAGTCATTGAGTACCTCCACCTTCTCCATATCCCGGGTAACCAGGTCAAATACATATTTATGCAAATACAATGCAATGTCCATGTTTGATGTCTGTGTACTGGCCTTTTTGCATATTCTGCCCTTTAAAATTTTCATGGAAAACGTTACTTCTATTTTCCAGTCTTGCTCCCTCATTACAGTGTCAGGTATACTGCAACACTGCCAGGACAACCATGGAGAAATGTAAAACACACAGTGCTACCAGACATTGGGACATCATTAATTCTCATGAAAATGGAGGAAAAAAACCCAACCTGAACTATACATTCAGCACTTGGATTTATGATTTAGGCATATTACTGCTAGTAACTTAGTGGAATCTCTTCAGTCAGAACCTGTAGCCACAAGGAAAAGAGGCAGGAGGATCTATTCTGTGGTGAAAGGAGGAAACATTAGCTCAGACAATTCAAAGGAAACACGGTTACCTTCACCACAGCTTATTTAGATACTGCAGCAGAGCAGCCCTTAGTTCCTTGCCAGGAACACACTCTTACACGCTCCGATTCCTCCTAGTCAAGGCTTAGGCTCTGACCACATGAAGTGTCTAGCCTGCCAGAGCTGCCCCTCCTCCTACCACCAACCTCAGCTGAGTGGAGAAGTCCTTCCCAGCTGCAAAGGGGCAGAGAGGGTCATTAGGCACTCTGCCCCATTGCACTTCAGCACCTGCATGTAATCAGGAAGGCAAGTGGGAGGAAGTGGGAAGGCAATGCTCCATTCAAGAAGCCTTCTTAGCTCCCGTGTGAGCAGTTTGGTTGCTGTACTGTGAAGCTGATGCAGTCCAGATGAAATAAAAGAGATTACAGGAGGAAGGCTGAAAGTTTCACCCCAAAGCCTGCATCGATCCCTTTGCCTTCCTAGGAAAGGGAGACATCCCTAGGGGAAGACTTCAACGAATGCAGAGGAGTAGGAATAGACCATTCTGCTTTAACACCTTCAAGAGATCACTACAGGGCTTGGCAGGATGTTCTTCACCATTACAAATAGCAGCGCAATGCACTTGGGATGTGCTATGGCTCTGGGAACAGCCAATTACATAGCTAGGACTTTGGTAGGAAAAAAGAGCGTTGCTCTACCAGAACGCATAAACTGAAAGGAACAATATTTGCTATTACAGTCTGTCCTACCCCTTTGTCTAACTTTCTTAGCTTAGAATATTTTTCTTAAAAGCTCAAGCTCCTCCAGTACTGGCTGTTGAGAGATTAAGCATCCTTCTTGGCCACAGAGAAAAAATTTTAAAACATAACCTATAGGGATTGATTTATGAAATATACTGCCATGCTATGCAGAGAGCCAAGTAAAGTTCCCTGTAGGCAGTTCTGGAACCAGAAACATTATAGGCACACAAGCACTGCACTAGCCCACTGCCTCTTCAAGGATCAAAGCTGGCTGCCCCAGAGGGTCAGTCTGATCCCCACAGGTATTCTAGCTTTCTCGAGCCAGCTCAGGTTTCTTTCATACCATGCTGCATTGCATTGCACAGATATACCCTGGCATTTCAGAAGTAAACATAAAGAAAACTCTCAAAAGAACTGTCCCCTAATTCCAGGTGGATCTCAGATTGATCCTGCTACTTTTGCCATCAGTGTTTTCATCCCTAGCAAAGGAAAGAAGAGGAAACTGACCCTGGGAGGAATTTCACAAGGCAAACTATTTTCTGCTCAACTCATCCAAAGCTCCACTTAATGAAAGCACTGCCTGCTTTGATGTCTGAGAATAACTCACTACATATGCAATGAGAACCCTTCTCAGCCTATACAGGCTATCTATTCTGGTCAGTCCCTGCTCTGTGCAAGTATTGGTGTTAGGGCAGCACTTCTGGATTTTGTCAGGATTCTGAGAGTCATCTAGGGCTGCTCTTTCTCCATTAACTGCAGTTCCTCATCACCTCCACTTGCCAAAACTAGAACTGAGGAAAAGCACAATGGTCAGCTTCCTTACACTTCCTAGTGATACCTGCGGTAACTCATCCTGCGGCCATCTAGAGGAATGACAGAATGGAAATGCAAACTGCTAATTAGTAACATGGCTTTCCTTTTGAAATACTACATTTCTCCATTCATCCCATTTCCAGGTGCCTCCCCTGACAACCCTGCACTACACTTACATTTAGTGACTAGTGTATACTGGATTTGTCCTCAGAGGCCAGGCAAGGTACATTTTGGGCACATTTTCACAGCAGCTGAAAGCATTACTGGACCACTACTAAGAGCAGGTTGCTATTAAGCAGACTAGCTCAAAACCAGCCAGCACCATTTTGTCTTTAAGTCGAGACAGTTGCTCATACGCATCTCCTGTCACTGCCTAGTCAAGTGAAAATTACAAAGCACATTCTGATTATCTGTTTTCTTCTTCTTCCTCTGATTCTTAAGTAGTTGCTTGGGTTTTTCTTGTCACAGAGCGTTATGAGCCTGGGATGGCTATGTAAGCGGCTCAGCACATTGTGCAAGCTAATAGAATACAAATGATTATATAAATAATAAAGCTGCTGAAGATTTTCTTGTCACCGTTTTCTCTGCTCCATTGGCTTGACTTAAAGCACACATAAAAATGGCCTCTGCTAAGTGTTATGTTCATAGCATCCATAAATAAAATTAAGATCCTGGTTTAAAGAGACACTAAGAAGCTGCATCTCCTCTTGATTTCAATCAAACTGGGATGCTCAGTGCCTATGAAAATCAGGCCCAAGGCTCTATAGATGAAAACAGAAGGATTTGATCTCTGTATGACAGTTTGCATTCAGCAGGGCAGTTTCATTTCCTATGTAAGATGCTCACATGCTCTTTTCCAGCATACGTACATCCCCTTAACTAATCCAGAGGTCAGGCAGGAGAGCAGCTCCAGACTCTGACAGCCATTGCTCACGTCAAAGGACTGGCACATAACATACAACCCCTGACACCACGAGTCGAGCATCAGTAGGATGGTAACTTGTAAGGCAGTTACAGCCACAGAACATCTAGCTCAGCATCGCTGTTTCCATGACTCCTGTATGAAAACTCAGCTCTGCCTTCCCTCTGGTATTATGTGGTCATACAGAGAGGATATTATGACAACCCTCCGGGCTGCAAATAAAATTAGAACCACCCAGCCACACCCTGTGAAAAACAATATTAGTACAGAATCACAACATTAGGGAGAAAACTCTTGCAAGAAACTCTTATTCCAGGCTAGGTAGGAAGCTGACTGACAGAAAACTTAAGCTTGTTTTTCAGTAAGCTTTCTATAACACATTTTGGAGATGTCAATATCTGTATCACCGTTAATCACAGTGATCATCACAAATTCTATTAGAAGAGATAGGAAAGAAGACAAAAGCTGGCTGCAGGGCATAACACCTGAACAACAACTGCACCAAGTTTTGGATTTGGGCTGAGGCAAGCTGACTGACAGAAAACTTAAGCTTGTTTTTCAGTAAGCTTTCTATAACACATTTTGGAGATGTCAATATCTGTATCACCGTTAATCACAGTGATCATCACAAATTCTATTAGAAGAGATAGGAAAGAAGACAAAAGCTGGCTGCAGGGCATAACACCTGAACAACAACTGCACCAAGTTTTGGATTTGGGCTGAGGCTTTATCTTTTTTTTTTTTTTTTTTTTCAGTAAGCTTTCTATAACACATTTTGATGTCAATATAACTTAAGCTTGTTTTTCAGTAAGCTTTCTATAACACATTTTGGAGATGTCAATATCTGTATCACCGTTAATCACAGTGATCATCACAAATTCTATTAGAAGAGATAGGAAAGAAGACAAAAGCTGGCTGCAGGGCATAACACCTGAACAACAACTGCACCAAGTTTTGGATTTGGGCTGAGGCTTTATCTTTTTTTTTTTTCTTTTTTTTTTCCCCCCAAGGAGCACTATTCTGGTTCCTGCTGCTAGCCAGGCAGTCCAATCTCTATTACCCATGTGTGGATTTTCTCAAAGTTGTGGACTAACTACGTGACAAGGGTAGCCAGCCAGTGTGAGACAACATGGTTTTGGAAGCCAGCTAGCTATTCCTGAGCAATGCAGCAACTCTGCTGCATGAACTTACCAACGCAGTACACTTCAAGTCCACACGCCACATTATTGCCATATCCCCATTATACCCTCATGCTGCATTCTCCTCACATAATTTACACACATATTTTATGCTACCTTCAACTTTCATTTTTCTGGTTTATTCTAACTCTGTATCTTCCTGGAAAATTGACAACTAACTATATTCCCAGGTGAAATCCAGGACCTCAAAAATATATCCTAAATAAGCTTCTGATTAGGATTTTTTCACCCAAAAATGCTGCTTAGTAATCAAAGGCCATTTATCTTTTTTTAATAGTTATTGCCTCAGTGCCTAGAAGATTGCAATGCTTTCTTCTGAATGGTTAACAGCTTACAGAAGACACCTCTCTCACTACCATGGGTATTTTTTCTGTAATCCAAGCACTAGAAGTCTGATTCTGACCATAAGCTCATGAGTTTTGCGGCTGATGCCTTCTGTCCAGCTGAATGACAAGTTTATCCTTACAGAGCTGTTGCAGTATCAGCGTAAAATTCAGCATCAGGGAAAGACACTGTGTAATGAAAGGCAGGAAAGAGCGATGACTTTGAGAAACCAAAAGCACAGAAACAAGAATTAATCTGAATTAGTTACCTCTTTGAGGCAGCCCATGAAGTTGTTGCTTACTGGAGAGCCAGGTAAATCAGCAGTACTGGGGCTCCCTCCCACGTAAAAGAAGTCATCCGAGCCCAGCATGGTGTAGTCCTCCTGCGTATAGCCCGTGGTGGTAAGGATGCCATCCACAGAGATTGTCACCTGTTCGAGGGACACAACAGACAAAGAAAATCCCAGCAATGACCTTACAATCCTGAACAGAATAAGATGCCTCCCCTATATTTTTATGTCAGTTTTATTAAGGATTTTGTTGAGATTTGGTATGTATTTTTTTAGTTCAGCCAAGCTCCATTTTCTGGTCTGCTTCACCCACAATGGAAATGCTCCAGCATCTGCTTCTCCCCTTTCTGGTGTATCAGCACTGTCAGGCTGACCCAGCAGTCTACCCATCAAGATGCTTTCCATCTATTCAGGCCAGAAAATGGAACTGTCCTTGAAAGAGATTTCTCATATTAGCTGATTTTATGATTAATTAGTATTTATTTTAATGATTACAGTTAGTTATGGTTGTTAGTAAAAAAAAAAACACTAATGAAGACGAAGTTGGTATTTTTTATTTTTTATGTTTCTTTTGCTCACGGCACACTGACGATCATGCATTCGGGGAAAGGGGGGAGGGATCTCACTTTCAATACATTATGGATGTGCATGCTATGTACCTAGAGAGACACACACCCACCACCCACCACAAAAAAAAAAAAATTAAAATTTAAACTTCTGTATTACAAACTAACTCGTAACCAAAATATAAATAGGAAATAAATAAAAATAAAATAAATCAAAATAAATCAACCACACACCAACAAGAGTGAGAGAAGCAGAGATGAGAAAGAAAGAAAACACAAAGCGTGCACACACTGCACTTCGACATGTCATGCCAATATATCTGGAGCCCAGAAAGATGACAGGAAAAGAGAGAGAAGAGAGAGAGAGAGAGGGAGGGAGAGGGAGAAGGAGAGAGAGAGAAAACCATTTCACACTTGCATGCAATAAAAAATAAAAATACCAAACAAACCCCATAATAATAAAAAAACTCAAAACCAAACAGAAATGTCCCCAAAACCTCTAACCCCAAACACATGAAGGGTGAAGGGGGACAGAAGGAGAGGGTGGTAGAGGAGTAAGTGAATTTGATGTGTTTTGCTTAGGTGGTGTTAGTGGTTTAAAGGGAAGATGGAGGAAAATAGATCGAGGCCAGGAGGAGACGGGCGAGTCACCAGACGTGGACATGCCATGCAGAGTGTACTGAAACAAACAACCGGCTGAGCTCCTGTCGGCCACGGCAGGTAGAGGTCAGAGAGAGAGAGAGAGAGAGAAAGTGAGAGAGAGAGCAAGAGGGAGGAGGAGAAAAGAAAGAGGAGGGAGGGAAGTGGGGGAAAATCAGGAGAAAGAAGACAACTCCGGCCAGTTTGCCTGTAATAGCCGTTGCCACAACAAAAGGATGAGAGAAAAAGAGAGCCTTCACCACCATGGACTAGAGGCCCTGCAGTGTTTCTGATCTAGAAACCTTCAGAGTAAAAAAACAAAAACCAAAAAGGGAGAAAAAAGCAAAATGAAAACCAAAGCAAAAGAGAGAAAGATAAACTCAAAAGCGAGGGACAAAAACCCCAACAATTTATCACTGGAATGGAAAAGAAGAACTAGAGGGATGTGAAGAAACCAATGAAAGAAATGTCTACACCCCGTTTCCAGAAGAGTTGTGTTAGTTGCTTTTGTTGCTCATTTTTCCATTAAAAAGCAGAAAAGAAGAAAAAAAAAAAAAAGGAGGGGGGAAAAAAAGTGTTTTCAATGAAATAAAAATAAAATTAAAGGAAGAAGTAAGTATAAAGGAGGGGGGAAAAAGAGGGGGTAGGGGGAGGAAAAGGCAGGTAACACACGGCAAACCCAAAAAAAGAGACAATAAGAATGATATCTACCAGACAATGTAGTTTGTTTACCATAGCGTGTCCAATGCCTGAGTGCTTTGCGGAAAAGGGGGAAGAAAGGAAATTAAAAAATCGTGAACAGAACGATTGTTAATTAAAATAACTAAAAGCAAAGATGAGTCGTTAGGGTGTTAGTACATTAGTTGGTTAGTAAAAATGACACATTGCATGAATGGTCTAGTGTTAGTCTTTCAAAAAAAGGCATGGGGCACCTGAGACACACAAAGTGAGAAAGAGGACAATATGACCAGGACTCTATGGGGAACCATGCCATCTAGGCTGTAAAGAAGGGTGCTGCCTAGTCTTCCCACCCTGGTATTAGTCATTAACTTCAACCCTCATATATATTATCCAGGACTGAAGCAAAGTTAAAACAGTGCAATACTTACTCTTCAAATGCCCATCAAGGTACTTCCCTCAGACAAGAACCTTATCCTCAGAGACGTACACACAACAGTACACAGTTTGCCCCTTCAGCACAAACCCAACCATGACTCCCTTCTTCCACCCACCACCACCCACCTACGTTCCTACTCCTCTTCCAAGCCTCACTACCCTCAGGTGTTGCAGAGTACCACAAGCAGGCCAATATTTCCTTTGGCTGGAGGATACAGATGAAGGAGAGTCCAAGACTCTGAGTCTTCCTTCCAAGTTTCCCAATCTGCAGGTTTCTTTACAGCAGGTGAGTTTGTGACTTTCAGGAGAAGCACACAAAAATGCCTGTGCTTGGCTGTTTGCCTGTAGCTCACTTCTGTCATCTGAGAGTATAGGAGTTGAACCTCTCCTACTGTAGGAAGAAATGTGTCGAGGAATTGTGTAGGAAGAATTGTGTCGCTTCTGTCAAGTTTGAAGACAGAAGATTGACAAGATTTAGTGTCTCTCCTGTTATACTGCATCTATATTACGGAGGAGCTAGGAGAATTCACCAGTGAGTTCACTTAGTTGGGTTTAGCAGAACTTTGCAGGTGCTTTGTTAATCCCTCCCAAGGCATGCAGATACCAACTGTTCGAACCTACACATTGTTTCTTGTTTGCTTTTTAGCAGCTGGGGAACTCAAGATCTTTATAGCAGATTTTGCATGGTGACTAGTTTCAGTGTTAATAGGGAAGTGCAGCCCAAGGAGGCTCCAAGTCCTTGTTCCAGTGTGATTTAAGTTGGCAAGAACTATCCTAAATTACACAAGCAAGATCTATGCTGCCTCATGTAAAAACTATCTGCTTGCAAATTTCAGAGTTGTGCATTGACTAAGGAAATAAGTTTGTGAAAACTTCGTGGCATTGAATATAATTTTTATTATAGTCCATTTTATTTGTCTATAGGAATGAAATAGTAATAATATTCTGTACTTGGGTATAATGAGCACAGACTCCTGAATTCTTCATCAAGGAAGTCTCACTCTCAGTGATACATTGTTTTAGTAAATCCATTTTTACAAGCAAGGGAGTTGGAGTATGGGACAGGAGGGAAAACACGCTGAAAATAAGATGGAGTGGCAGCAGCAGACCTGAAGACAGACATGGGAAGTCTGACCTTCAGTCTCCTCCACTCCCCCTCCTCCTCCCACCAGACCACACTGCCCCAAACATGCTCTGAAAGCCCTGGTTAAATACAGCCATGATCCTATTTCTAGTAAAGGTTTCTCACAAGGCAGAAAGAGGGCTTAGTTTTAACTGAAATAATAAGATAAATAAACAAGGAGATTTGCTTTGACATTAACAATCACTACTCAAGGGAATCTGTGGGTTCACTTGGTTTGTCTCTAAGGAGATTAACTGCTGTGATAGGCATTTGATCTAAAAAAAAAGCAGCACTTAGTACTCTCCTAGCTTAGCTACAAAACATTTAACAATTCCAGAAAGTACTGGGCAAAAGTCCAGCTATTTAAAGTTCTGCTCTAAATCTAGGAACAGCCAAAAAATTATGCAAATCCTCCTCCCCCTTCTCCCAATCCCAAAAACAGCAGAGGAAAAGATTAGATGGCATCCTGAAGCTGCTGATAGCCCATTTACCTGGAATTGTTTTAGCTTTGGATCATAGTCTTGGAATTTCTAAATTTTTTTTTTTAAGTTCACTTTAAAGAGAAATATATTTATCTCCAGTGCAATGTTTTCAACCAATTACAAGGAGGCTACTGATTTCCTTCTAAAGCTTCAATATTTAGGGGCAATGTTTTTTGTTGGGTTTTTTTGTTTGGTTTTGGAGTGGGTTTTTTTTTGAGGAAACATGAGCACAGCTGGAAACAAGACTTCCACAAGTGACCTATATTATGCTGCAATTTTACAGGTGAATTTATGTCAGGAAAGATGCAGCATAGCTAATTTCTTACATACAAAATTATTTAGGATATACAAAATTATATTGGATGCAATAAAGAACAAAATGTATAATTTCATAAACAAATAATCTTTGTCCTTTATTACATCTTCTATATGAAGATATCAAAGGATTTCACAGGTTCATAGATCTGAAAAATGGTTAAGGATTTTACAGATAGAGAAACTCCCTCTCATGTACACACAGACAAAACCAGGAGACATAAACTGCTGGAAGCTGCTGTCAGAATGGAGAAAAACAAAACTCCTTCATCCTGTGCTTTATTTAGAACGGTGTCTTTATCTTTTTTTTGTTGTTGTTAAATGAAGCATTTATAAGGTCAAGATATAGAGTGACCATTCTTAGATGTGTCCTGAAAAATGTCCATAGCAGTTATTAATTAGTTATCGGTCATTCAAGTTCTCAATCTTTTCCAAACTCTTTATCCTGAAGATTGGAGGGGTTTAAGACTTCTTCATCCCTAGTAATATCAATTAAAAGTAAGAATGCACAGGACCTGACAGGAAGGCTGCAGCATTCAAGGTTTCTCCTTATTGAAAACTGCGGTTGAACTTACCAATAATTTTTGGATGACAACTTTCAGGAGTAGCAGGGTTGCTTCTCCTCAAGGCCTCATCAATTCCAATTTCTGGACAGTTTTAGGTTCTGAGTCAATGTCTTAATTTTGAGACTGAACTTGATCAGAAGTTAAAATGGAAGTATCCAGGGAAAAGATGACTCAAAAAAATTCCAGCCTTATTGATATTTATTGGTTGAACTGTATTCTATCATGCCTATCTATAGAATTGGACCCCAAATCACCTCTGCTTCTTATTTTTAATTTGATTTTAAGACTGGCCTTTCTTTGGAAAGAGCACAGCTATCTTATTGAAACATCCTCTCTCTTGCCCAGCCAAGTTGGACCCTTTAAGAATTCAAGATCACATGAAAACATCCATAGTGAATAGATCAGGAGGATTAAAAATTTGCGGTGCTCCTTAACTGGCAAGGGACTCACCTGCTTTCTAATAATTGCCAAAGCACTGTCCTGGTCTAATCAAAGACAAAGAGGCATAGACATATTTCCATTTAACCGTGAATCAAGAAAATAAATAAAAAATCACTAGCCGAAAGATTAGGAAAAGAAAGTGAGAGCTTCCCATCCACAGTTTTGCCTGCGACCCTTCCTCACTTTCTGCTTCTTCAAGATCCAAACCAATCCTGGCGTGAAGCAAGGATGCATTTTGCTTCAGGTACATTTTCCCATTGAAAACCGATTTCTGACAAAAATAAAAAGTATGATTAACTAAAATGACCAGTAAGGTATACTGAGGTATTCAGAGACCAGCCATTCTGAGACCGTCTAAAAATAAAAAACACATCCAAAGAAGCCATATATTCTGACCATTCCAGACTGGCAAACCTCACCAGTTGGTGCATCTCTCTCTACTGGACTGATGGGAACGTTTGAATGAAATAGGATCATTAAGACCCATCCACTGCATAAGAAATTAAATTTGTATCTGCATATAAACTATTGAAAACAGACTCATGTTGCCATAAGTAAGAACCCTGCAGTCTCATGAAAGTTTGCTGACAGATTTTTTGTCAAAGACCCAGACATCCTGAGCATGTAGAAATACAGGGATTCACATGGGAGAGACAAATATCTTCAGCCCCAAACCCAAATATTTAAAAGAAAGATGTGAAATCCCCATAACAGGTAAATTATCCACGCACATCTACTAGTAGAGACTGTTTCTGATCCCTGGCACTGATTATCCTATACTCACAGATATATTTTATCTTAGCTACTGTAAAATGTTACCACAAAAGCTGTTTTCTCAGCAAACGACATTGTATAAACTTAAATAAAACTATTAAGGGTTGTGTTAATATTCACATTAATGAGCAAATAAACAGATCATATTGTTTTCACAAATTGATTTTAAAATCTTAGTTTACAAGCTATTTCTGCTGCCTCTACCAATCAGCAAGACACCAAATAGTTCCTATTCACAGTGTAAACCTCATTTATCATGCAGCGGGTGGGCCTTAGTGACTTGATATATTCACCAGCTTTCAGAGCAAGGTTATTTAATTTTATCTTATCTATTTATGTCTGAATTTATATTTCATGAGGAAGGCTTCAGGGTTTTAAGACTAGCCTACTACCAAATACGTCACCTGATAGAGTTGTCTGCTTAGAAAAGCAGCATGCAGATGTGCAAAATTAGTGGTAAAATCAGAAAAACTTTTCCAAAGTGAAATTGTAGGGTGTTGGATTGATCTGGGTTAGCTTGGCTTTTTTGATCCTTCCTCTTTTCCAGTCCTCACAGACAACAGAAGAGTCTCATAGGCTGAGACACAAGAAATAAAGTAGAATCTCATTATAGAAAGAAGGGGGAAAAATCAAAAAGAAGAAAAGAAGAACAGAGAATCAAGAAGACTCAGAAAGACTCCAGCCAATTAATTCCAAAGCTGTAAAGTTAAAATAATTACACACGTACCCACCAGCCTGCATACCCGCACATTCACATGCACACACAAAAGAAAAGAAAAAGTAAAGGAAAAACAAAAGACTTCCAGAATTAGAATTATGACAACATGGCAATGGTTAAACCAATTAACAAAACTGAAAGAAAAAGGAGAGAGGTGTAGAGCGTTGGCTGTTGGAAAAAGACTCTGTTCCCACAGTAATTAAATGCAACAAGAATATTACTGATAAGATTGAATCATAATTAAGGAAATAATAAAATAAAAAAGGGAGAACAGAAAAAGTGAAAAGGAAGAGGGAGATGAAAGTAATGTCACAAGTTTTTATTATTAAATCAAACTGGAAAAAACAGAAAATTAATAAAGTGGAAATGAAGATACTGCAACAGGGATAAATTCCCATCAACTAATGTTTTTTCACTGTCCTTTAGATACCGAGATCCAGAAAAGGTGGAAAAACTCTAGCAATTCCACTGAGCATCCCCATTTCTCCATTACTGTCTCCCACCTACCCATCCCAATAAAACAGAACAAAATTTTCTTCAGCATTTTCACCCCTTCACCATTACCTGCCGCAGGTTGCGTGTCACCTTAACGTCGTGCCATGCATTGTCATTGAACTTGCCATTGACCGGCTCCACAATGGCCTCGAAGGCCCCAGACCCCAGGTTAATGACCAACGAAACTGCACCGTCTTTCAGGGCCAGGTTGACATAATCAGCTGACTTGCCAGTGTGCAGAATGAGCCCGTTGCGTTGCCATGTCTTGAAGGAGAGAGTGATCTCATCGCTGCTGCTCTGGATGGGGTTTTGCGACAGGTCATAGCAAAGGTATTCGGAACCACGGAAAGTCGCCATGTTCTCATCTCGCGCTGGAAAATAAAGGGAAACAAAAGAACTATTCAGCAGTCAACCAAGAAGAGATTTAAAGTTGTCATGAAATTTCTAAGCAATCCCACAGCACTGCTGATGTTCTATACAACTATATATCATGGCATGCTAATGACTGTACAGCTCCTCTTGTAATTTGGCTATCAAGAGAATTAACGGCAGGGTCCTCGGTACTGAAGAATTTCAGCACTGTGTTTTCAGTTTCACTGCAGCACTGTCACCATAGGGACCGTTCAAAAGTATGCAGTGGAGTCTAGGAAAAGTACATTTAAAGACACTGCTATAAGACACTTCACATCCTTTTTTTGGAGAATGATGGAAAACTCTACTATTCACAACATGACCATCACATATGCGTTGTTCCAAAAGAAACCAACGTTTCCCAAAGATCAGTGTTTAGATTCATTGCTAATGTCATCTGAACTTAGCTTAACCCATCTGCCAGGCAATCTAAGACAGGCATCAGAATATAATCCTGACAGAGCTGTGCCTCTCTTTCAACTGAATGACAGACCAAGCAGACAAGAGAGCCACATAAAGTATCCTATAGTTTCCTTCTCTGAGAGCATGAGGGAAGCCCACATAAAACATTTTGTCCACAGCCATAAGTAATGATGTTGCTGGTAAACACGTCTCAGAACTTTGCCTGCTTGATCACCTTATCCAGAAAATCTGTACTAGACAAGCATATCTTTTTCACACAGCAAAAATAAATATGGGGGAGTTATTCACAGCACATGACATGAAATATTTCCTCATTAAGAAAAAAAATCTCTTTTGTACAATAAGAAAAACCACTGAACTAATTTCTTAGCAACTGGAGGCAGCATTTGAATACCATAGAAATCCTTCATGTGAGCTGGAAGTCTGCTTCCCAGTACCTGGGCTTCCACAGTCACTCAGAGCCAGCTCTGCTGCCGTATTGCGCTCACGTGACTCAAGCCAGCTGTGTACCCCAGTTTTGCCCAGTGGAAGAAATACAGGACGGTGATAGTAAAGCTTGCAGGAGGGCTGTCTGTAGCCCATTCCTACTAGTGCCATCTGGGGGAAAATGGCACATACAATGGAGTCTATACAGATCCCCCCACTCCGTATTGCAGTGCCTTTGACTCCCAGCTGTGAAAGCAAGTCTGAGCATGAATAACTAGATGGTACAAGCAGTCAGGCTATCATTGCTTACAATCCGCTGCATAAGGCAAGTGCTGTTGCTATTGCCATTGACATTAATAGCATTTTTCTGCTTCATTTTGTCTCATTTAATAATCCTAACACAGATTAGCCAGAATTTATTAGTACAAGACTGAAGGAAAAATACTTGTTGTCATAGCCATTCTTGAAAAATAACTACATGGTAAAATCTGTGCCCTCACAGCGTGAAACAGTGGTGACAAAACAGCATAGTGTTGCAACACGAACATATATCATCCTCAAGTGATAGGTCTGCTTTAAGCAGAGACTTTTGCAGCCTTGATTGAGGGTATCACAGAATGAACTCATTAAAAAATCTAGGCACTTTGAAGGCAGCAGTAATGTGTGTTTGTACTTATGTAAGCAAACCATGTGTCTATACACCCCTGCGAGCAAACAGTAAGACAAATTGCTCCATGCAACAATACAGGCTGGGAGCCAACTGGCTCAAAAGCAGCTTTACAGAAGATGACCTGAGGGCCCCAGTGGACAAGCTGAGCACAAGTCAGCACTGCCTGCCCTTTCAGCAAAGGCCAGCCACATCCTGGGCTGTATTAGCAAGAATGCAGCCAGCAGGCCGAGGGAAGCGATTCTTCCCCTAATGGGCCCTTGTGAGATCACATGAGGAGTACTCTGTCCAGCATTGAGCTCCCCTGTATAAATATGGCTTCAACATACTGGAGTCCAGCAAAGAGCTACCGCAACACTCAGGGTGCTGGAGTAGGTGACGTGTATGGAGAGGCTGAGAGCTGGGTTTGTTCTGCCTCAAGGAGAGACAACTCAAGGGAAATCTTACTGCTCTCTGCAGTGACTTAATGGGAGAGCATAGAGAAGACGGGGCCAAATTCTTCTGAGAGGTATGCAGAAGAAGGATGAGAGGCAACAGACACAGCTGGAATACAAGAAATTCTCATTTTATATGAAAAAATGTTTCATTTTGAGGATGGTCAAACACTAGGAAGGGCCTAGAGAGACTGTGAAATCTACGTCCTTAGAAATACTAAAAACTTGATTATGCACAGTCCTGAGCTGCCTGCTCTAACTGAACCTTCTCTGAGCTAGTGGTTGGAGTACACGGCCTCTGGAGGTCCCTTCCAAATCACTTGGTTCTCTGATTCTATTCTGAATACATTTAACTATCACCGAGGAGTGCATATGCTTGTGTCAGTGTTCAACCAGCCTAAGCACAGAGGGCTGATATTGATTGCAGTTCCAGAAGTCAGAGCCAAGCGCTTAACAACCCTCTTCACGATGATAATTCCCCTGCCTAGTCACTCCTGATCCATCGGAAGGGAACGTGTTACAATCAAGTCGGACACATGGTCTATGTACCTGCGGGTAATTCCCATCAAATAGCTGGCGTCTGAGGGCAGGAGTTAAACACGATCATTATGACTGAGCCTTTTTCCCACAGCCGTAGATGTGTGAAGGACTGAATACACATTTGACGTCTTTGGGAAGGGGGGCAAGGGGGGTTGATTGTTCACTCAGTAGAAGACATATTAATAGGGCTTATTTACACTTTCTCAACCACTTAGATGAAATCTCACTGGTCTGCTCAGTACAAAGGAGAAAGCAAAGAGTAGATTAGAAATCTAAACAGTAATTTAAGGCAACCACTGCAGACTCATCAAAACAGAGTAGAGAAAATTCAGAGACATATTACTCTTACTTGTACTGCTGGTTTTAATATAAGGTGCTATCAACCCAGCCCTGTGTGCAACTACGTCACCTGCCTGTTTCTTCCAGTCATCTGCTGCTGACCCTTGTCACAGATGGGATTCTGGACCTGATCCATCTTTGTATCCTTCCTGTTCTTGGAAGAATGTCACCTATTTCTGTTTCATATGTTTTTATGTTTTTTTTTTTAATTCCTCCTGTGACTGCTCTGGAAAAACATTCAAATTTGCAGATCACCACACACTAAAATCTCTCTGGCATTCACTGGCCAATCCAAATTCACGCCTGTCCACCCCATGTCTCATAAGCACAACTCCCAAGGTCAACATACTCTCTAAAACTGTATTCTCCAAACCACTAATTCCTAAACAGTTTACCAGTGGCCATGTGGATGACTGGTTTACCAGTCTCATGAAAGGCCTTAGTGCACAGATTAGGCTCCAGTTGCCGAAGAGCTTGACTGTATTCCTCCAAGCTACAACACAGTAGCCTGTGTCAGGCAACATGAAAGGCTTTTTACCAAGCACAGCCTTTCCATGCTGTCCTGCCTGTTAGGACGCTCTGACATATGTGATGGCTATGACCATAAAGCATAGGAGAATTACCAGAAACCATGGAGGGGAAAAAGGGATACAGGTTCTTTCTACAATGTATGAAGAGAAAAAGCCCTGAGTAGGCTGCAGGTCTCACAGTGTTTCTGTATGCCTTCAGGCACAGTCTGGTGACGTCTGGAAGACCAGAGAGTGGTGAACCGCTTGTTAGCTCATGACCTGCTGTACATTTCTGAAGGCTCCAAAAATTGCACTGTGATATTTATGGCTTCTATATTCTTTAAACAGTGGTAGTGTACCAAGGAGCCTCTTCATAGCAACACAGCTAACCTAGAATAGCTAAACTTAAAGCCAAACTCAAGGTCAACAGGAATCCTTGGTTTATGTTACATGAAGCAATAGATCAAACCCTGGTTTTGCTGGGATGTGAAACCCTGTATAAAGTAAGTGATATTAACTTGAATTGATGAACTAGCTGTTCAAGTGTGACAATGTAACTGCATAAAATAGCGTTTACTTAAAACAGCATTTAGAAGTTTGGAAACTCTTGATTTATATGTGATTTGCAAGATTTAATTTTTAACTCAGTTAATTCTAGACAGATTTACAAAAATTGGAATCTGAAAGCAGGTTAGCACATGTAAGCAATTAAATCTTCCATTTCACTTGCTAATATTAATCTAAACCCATTATTTATTTTCTAACACATTCATATAACTAAATTCTCTGCAACAGCTGGGATTTGCAGAGATCTGAGACCTGTACAAAACTCCACATTCAGACTTAAATCCTTGACATATTCAAAGCCTCACAGAAATCACCAGAGTAGAAGTAAACCCCAGGATCTTCAAACTGACCAGCACAGACCTTTTTCTTGAATTAATGGAGTCATCCATCACTTTAAGAAGTGGGAAAACGTTATCCTTTTCTGACTAATCACTAACAGGCACAGCTAGCACATTAAGCAGTTACCATCACCACCCCATTGCAAAGACAATTTTGCAAGTCTCAGATCTACACCTATTCAAATCCCCAAATCAGCTATCAGTACATACTGCAGGCTGGTAGCAAGAACAGAAACAAAAGCACAGCCAACAACTACCTAAGCCAAGCTCCTGGCTCTTCTCATCCCTGTAGAAACCCAGTTTTGCCGAGTCTCAGGTTCCCAGGAGAGGTAAAGACTGGGGATCTTTCCATATTGTGTATGGCTATACTGCCTGTTCAGGAGAGCCAGACGGTAATTTTAACTTCAGTTTTTATGTGCAGAGCTGTTGCTATGTGTTCCTGTCAAAGCGCTTTCTACAAAGGAGGACTCAAATATACAGAATTCACAGCATCACTAGGAAGTAAAGAAAACCTTGGCATTTTGATTTATGTATGTGGAAACCAATGCACAGACATTTTAATGGATTTACTCATGGCCACCAAGAAAATCAATAGTAGAGGAAGCATTTGAGTTCAGGAGCTCCTAGCTCCCCATCCTGGTCTCATTCCACAGGTTCTCATACATTTGTGGGAGGGAAACCAACCTCCTGTTTTTCTCCAGTCCTGCCAGGAAGTCA